TACACCAGAGGAAATTACCTGCTACAAAATAATATCCCGGTACTGCCTCTTTGCACGAACTAGATGTTTTTTTGCCTCGTTTTAGAGATAAAGCATTAAGAGGCAGGCGACCAGCAGGTGATATTATTTGTATGATTCCACCTGCTCCACCACCCAAACTGGAAACTGCCCCTGATCCTTGTTTTTCATTTCCTCCATCAACAATAAGTTTTCCTTGCTCCCTCAGATCAACCTAGAAAAAAAACCAAGTCAACGAAAATCATAGCCAGAGTAGATATAGAATCCGACGAAACAAAGTTTAAATACCGAAATGTTGCATCGATTCTTAAGTGCCCGTAAGAAAGTTGGCTCGATTTCTGCTCGCTCTCTCGGTCGAGCGTAGGCTCGTTTCTCGAACAGCGGCTGGTAATCAAGCCTAAAAAGAAAGAAACATCCGCTTTTTGGATTGGAAAATCCGGATTTGGAATTCCATAAAAATGCACCATAACTCTTCAACCTTGGTCTTTCCCTGGGAACGAGGCTGTATAAATCCATATTTAGAATATTATGATTATTTTTATAAAGACGAAGTGTGAATCATTGGATTTCCTTAGTTGTAAATAGTTCATCTTTTAACACAATAACACCTTTTCCATTTCATAAGAGAAGAGCATTATCTGAGATTAGATTGAACAGTCTTACAAGAGGATCTCTACTCGGTCGTACTAGTATCTGGAATAAGCTTCTGTAAAGATCAAGTGTTATTCATGAGAAAAGGGGTAGCAAAATTCGTGATGATAAAATTGAAAATCAGGTAAAAAGCATGTGGCATGGACTCTAATCCCGATATTTATCGATACGCTAGTCAACAACCAAAGCCGACCTCAAAAAAATCCTAATTTACTAATGTAATTGTCAAACTATGTCACCATTTTGCTGTATATTGTCTAACCCGTCTAACCCGTCAGACTGTGTTTTCTCTTCGTCGTGCGTACAAGCGAAAGGAAAAGGCTCCTTCCCTTGCATTTTTTTCTATTTTTGTTTGTTACTGAGGAGGCGAGATAATTTTTCATGTATACAGAGTCGAACTTCACCGATAGTATAAAGTATGCGCGCCTTTGTAATACAGATTGAAACCACTCCGTTATTGAATAGTTAGTGGGGGAGGTGAGGCTTGCTGATGAGTGCGGTGTATACGTGAGAATTTACGATAACTGCGAAGTATGCAGTTCTTAAGTTACAGATAGTCTGAGACACAGCAGCAATTAAAAATCGTTAAGTGCGAGATTTGCAGGCTATTGCATGTTCTGACGCTTTGCTCTTAGGAACACCTCTGTCAAGAGGAAAACGAGCCAAAAAGCAAATAACGAATCACTATAAATTATGCATTAAAATTATCAATTACCTGACGAGCCTTAAGGCGAATAAGTCCACCAGCTCCACCAGAACATATTTTGGAATTGTCTGTTTCAGTCTGAGCTGAAGCTTTGATAATTGCATCTCAAAAAGATTAAGATAAAATTTGTCATCGATGCAATGTACAGTATTCGTAACGTGAGTTTATAGTTTACATTCATGTGGTAACATGTGAGTAGACATGAATTAATCACCAAGGTAAATAAATAGCCGGCTTCATTCGTGCTATTGCAGTAATAATCGGACTAATCGCAGTCGATTGTGGTAGGATTTAATGTTTTGTTGAAAATTTACCCATAATGTAAGCACAATTTCATCTGGTATGCTAGTCCTGATAACGTTGCGAAGCAATAAACAACAAACCATTTTTCTTAAATCTAGGCCTTAGATTCCCTTCAAATTTACAATTCAGTCCATTTAAAATATCTGTCAGGTATAGAACATATTTTTCAGTGGTAAATATTACTCCTACATCATGCCCACTGACAAACCAGCTGAAATCTTGCCTTAAAATTCCCCTGTTTGACGTTCATCTTAACGTGAAACTTTTCATATCAAAATCGATCTTTCCCGAAACAGTGCGAAAGAATCTTATCAAAAGTTTTCATGTTGGTGTCTAAGCCTGATTGGCTTTCTTGCCATGGGTATCGAAACACCCTTGGCTAGCTATGACATGGGCAGTTTCATTCTTCTTTTTGACGTGTCTGTAAATATTTCCCATGGTAAATTTCAAATGGTATTTTACCAAGGTAAAAATGTCCCGTGTATCCACACCTAATATTGGGTCGTTTATAGACCCCCGAGAGAGACGGACGAGGAAACGGCTGAAATTCAGGCTGGGTCATTTAAAGCGTAAGAAAGAATCCTCAAAAAACTGTTTTAAGGCTGCAATAGATACCGTATGGTAGGACGTATAGAAAGTTTCTGCGAGTAACAGTTTGGTAAGAATTTAGTAGTGTTTCATAGAAATCGGGAAAATGAGTTATAAACAATTTACTCGATTATATTGCGAGAAGTCGGGCGTTTTCATTCTTACACTGTCCTTGCTCCTGTATCAGTTGACATCAAACTTCTATTCTTCCAGACCTCTTTTTAGCCATTTAGGGTTCTACGTTGTTGGTAGATTAAATAAATACCCTACAACAACTTTGATAATGGTTAATACTTATGATTATGCATCCTTTTTCTGCTTTTATTTCAATGGCTCCTCCACCAGCAACACTTCCCGTCGAAGAAAGACACGAACCTGAGGAGGTTAGGATTAACAGCAAAAATACAAAACAAATTTAATATTTAAATAGGCATTTTATTAGGAACGATTTTAATTTTTCGCCACTCAGGACAAATATAATTATCAAAAACGTAACACAAGACCGTGTCATTAGTTCAACGTATATTTTGTTCATGTATTTTAGGGAGCTTGACGACCCAATGTTTTTTTTTTTTCGTCAGATAGTTTTCAGACAGGCTTATCGTCTCCCAATTAGGGATTAGATTTACAAACTATCTTTCTGCCTGCAGTTCGTTTCTTTGATCTACACTCTCGCAACTCTCGTTAAGTGCAAGTATTAATTTGTTGTTTGACGTCGCTTTGGAATCGCCCAGCTAAACTAAGCTTCTTTCCTTGTACATGGGTCATTTTCTACGTCTGATTAGCCGAATTCTCTCTATTTTTGCTTTGTCGATGAGTTAGTTGGGCACTTTATGCAAAGGCTTGGTGGAATGATACTTTTGTCTTTACAGCTAGGGGTCTATTTAGAGCTGTTGACACTCCTACAGTTTTGAAAAAAGATGGCTAACATTCATCGAAACCGTCAACTACAATACTGAACATTTTTTGGCTATCTGTAAAGAGCTTTTCAAAATTCATTTATATAACTCCCGGTTTTTGTTGTTGATTATTTGGTCATAATGTTTTTACTTACAACCATAATTGCAAACAATGAAGTGAAAAAGTAGCTGAAAACACAGTTATATGGACCTGATTTGTCGCATGGATGAGTATGCCGTAAGGCACAGCCGATGGTTGTAGTGTGCAAACAGAAGTTTTTCTCTCTGACGAGTGTTTTTTTTTTTTTAATCATCCTATTTTCATTCCATTCTAGCACTCATTAGTAATTTGATCAGAGCCACAAAGCTGCCTGTTGAGTTTGATCCATGCAAGTGATTATGTAATTTGTCTCACCTCCGCTTCCTCCTAATAGTGATACTGTGTCATTTTGATCATATGCTGGACCTGAATATGGTTTTGTACCGCTCTGAGCAGGTGCTATTCCACCATGACTAGAACCAGGTATGCACGAGTTCCTCCATGGTAAACGATATTGGCCTCTTTTAAAACCACCGGGACCGAGACCTGAAAAGAAATTGGAAATCAAAAAAAATCCCTTGCTTGAAAAGCTTTACTAAAATCAAGAAATTTCATTGTAGAGACTGGTATTTTGTCGGACTTTAGACTGGGAGGAAGGAATTCAATCGGCGCATGGTTTTTTTACTAGTACTCCACTCTCTTCGTCTCCACTCAGTTGATAAATGGAGCACCGTACGGCACAATACTGCCCGTTTTCTGTCACTGTGGACTAGTATCTGTGTTCGGTGGAGTAACACTCTATATAGTAAACCCTCTATTAAGCCGTCCTTCTCTAGTTATTAACCACCAATTTTTTAAGGACGCGACTCATCTCTGTTTCTTAAAATTACGCGAATTTGATCAGTTATAAAAAAAATTCAGTGAAAGGTTTGAACCCAGGAGTGATGATAGCTTTGTGATCATAAAGAAATGTTTTCACCTGTTCCTCGAACATGGCCTTTGGAAGGCAGGCCCGTAACCAGGATTTTATGTGGGGGGTGCTAACGAGGCCAAACTGCGGACCAAACTACCGAAATGTATTTTTTATTGTCTGATCCGTTTATTTAGGAAAGTAGCAATACATGAGAAATTGTAACGGCAAAGTACACGGTAGGAACTGAATATTACATTTGCCGAATACAACTGTTTAAATTAAGTTATAAAGGAGTAATTTTACGATTTAAAATGATACGTCAAAATACTGCGGAACTAATCCCTTAGAATAGTCCCGAGCTCCAGCCTCCGTGGGTGTTTGGTGGCAAACAGATTTACCACCTCATCCAAAACAACTTTGACTTGATAATGTATGTGCATTAGTGCGAGGGACGACAGCCTTTCCTGGCCCATGCATGCCCTGTTAGATGTATGCAGCCGCCTTAAATATCACCGACTGTTAAGTTTGAAACTTCAGTTTAACCTACTGCACTCCTTAACTTGGATATTGAGTATCAAAATGCGGACCTTTAAGGCCTGTGGAGGGGGGGTGCGAACTCACCCCGTGCACCCCCCCCCCCCCCCCCCCCCCCCGCGCCGCCCGGGCCAACAAAGGTATACTTGAGAAATGGGGTAATGAGTGGCAATTTCTTCAATGCGATAATATGTTTTCTTATTTCTTTGCGTCTATTGATTTTGTCGATTCTGAACTGCACCTCAATATCCGCCAGTCTTAAATACACCCGGTGGTTAGGTTTTAAACTTCGGTTAAACCACCTGCCCCCCTTACCTGGGAATTGGGGTTTAAAAAGGGGGCCCTTTAGGGCCTGGGGGGGGGGGGTGGGAACCACCCCCGGCCCCCCCCCCCCCCCTGGTTACGGGCCTGCAAGGTAAAATGAGCCTTATGCTGTAAAAGTGCGAAGCATTGGTAATCTTACGCAAGGAAACTGAATTGTTCTTTATCAGTCAGTGTACTGGCTGTAGCTCGAATCTGACAAAGCTCTGCTTACGGACTGAATAAAGATCAGTTATAAACGACCGCCTCAGTACTTCCCTGAACGATGTGTTCATCAACTGGATGTAACGATCCTGGTTGGTAGCAGCGCACTTCGGGTTCTATCATGGAGCTCAGCTACAGCTCAGCTACCTCATAAATCAGATTTCCAGTTGAATTAAGCAAATTGTGGCAATAAATCGGTCACAGCTGGTATTACCTCACACGCCTAACACGCTGAGTGCGAGCCAACGTTTGTTTTTAGCGGTAAAATGCTCCTTTTGGCATTTCAAGAGGTTATAAAACTTTCTGAACCATTAAATCATACTAAGGACATAATAATCAAGCATCATAATCAAGTACCCAAGGAAACCAGTCTTGCCTTACGGTGGAGTTAAGAATTTCCTTCCGAAGAGACTCAATTTACTGTTCTTAATTACACTTGTTAATCCTTGTGCTCACCTTGCTATGTCTATCAAATGTGAGAAAGGCAACTAAAAGCAGATTCCCTTACCATAATATAGGAGTTTACTGGTTCTATCATCTACCCCTACTGATGACTGTGTGAACCCACCGAGACATGTTTTATCTAGCACCTTCTCTGTACAAGTCATGTTAATATTAGTTTCTATTAAGATGTGTCCATTCTGACTTGTTATACTCAGACCATACTTTCCAAATACTTGGACTGTTGAACCGTTTCTGAACTCAATGTTACCACTGAACCTAATCACGGCAGCCAGATGTTCACTATGCGTGCTTGAGGAAGATCTATTTTCATGTGATGCGTTGTAATTGCAACTGGAGCAGTTGTTCTTAACGATGGACGGTGCAGTCGTGTTGATCTTCAGTTCTTCACCGTTTCCTATTATGAGATTACCGGCTAGAAAGGGAATACAAAAAACAATTTTTGGTTAGATCACTGCTATCTCCTCCTTGAAGAGAAGAAAATAAACTTATATTATTCTCAAATTCAAGTCCCAGTTGTAGAACAGACGAAGATAACAAAAGAGCTGAGATTTATCTCGATATTCAGTGGGATACATCTAGGACTTGACTTTCAATACAACAGAGAACGAATAGCGTTTTGAAATAAGGGTTGACTGTCTTCACCTCACTTTTTTATCTATCTTCAGTTAACTTATAGGAGTACTTATAAAACACTCATGAACAGTCAGCCAGAATAACCGGAATGAAAGTGAACAACGTTGGGTAGCTCTACTAAAATAAGCCACCACTTTCACCGACCCTGACGATAACTTTTTCGTGACTGGTCGTGTATAACGGAAAAATCATTATAGCTTTTGCCTAAAAAAAATAGTACAATTTTCACTTTGGCAAGTTTCCATTAAGAGTGCCCGATTTACTCGATTATTCATTTGTGCATGTTCATAAAAGACAATCGTGAAAATATAACAAGTTTTATAATCTTTAGTTTCATGTCACGGGTGAATTCACTGCACTAATTCAATTCGCATGCTGCATTTTGAATACGGTGAAACATATTTTCTAAAGAAATGCCGGTTATGTGAAGACCAATAAAGCCTCTTTTAAGGTTCGCGTTTTTAACATTTTAACTACCAAATTGCCGGGGACATCCATTCAGTTTTACTCATAATTGTAGCCAGTGTTGCGACTTGAATTTTCCGGAAATATCTTTGTTTCCCACTAAGGCGGGATTGTTCAAGAAGTTAGGGGTCATTTGTTGGCAATACTGAAAGGGACGATCATGACTTGTAATGGATATATAGTGTTCTCTCTTCATTTTTAAATATGGGAATAGATGGTGAAATTTCGTAGTCATGTGCCATTGTGCTTATTTCTATTCAAGTTCAAGAGCCAACTTGAAGGAACGGTTGATAGATTTTACCACCAGAAATGGTGACCAATGGCTCATAAACTTTTCGGGAACCTAAAAACCAATTATTATCATGATATTCAGACATTTCAAGTTTCATTTCAATTACTATTTTGTAGTTTCTTAGCACTATGTTGAGTTTGTTTCCTTTTCTTAATAAACGGGACCGACAACAACGATAACCTGAGGGCCATGGGTTCCTTCATTCTCGATACATTATCATGGCAAATGTAACCTGGACAGGAAACTTAATGTGCCTGTGATTTTTAAAGAATTAAACATAAAATTTGAGTGGCCTTAAAAACAGTAGGCATATTAATTTAAATAATGAACATTTTCCAATTCAGGTCGCGCATATGGGTACATCACTCTTTCACAATAGATGAAGCGACAACTCTTAGCTTTAAGCTTGTCCCCAACGGTCTTATTTCATTGAAATACTCACAGTTCACGGATGCTTTAGCAGCGGTGAAGAAACACTACGAGGAAAACAAAACGTGAAGTTACAAACTGTCAAATCAATTAACCCTTCTGTCGGCAAAAAAGCTAAAAGCAAGTTCGATGCGAGAAAAAAAAAGAAAACAAACCTGAAGTACGATATTAATGGCTCCAGGGAACAAAATCAATATTCCCCACTTCATTTGAACGGATTATTGATGCGCAATACTAAACCAAAACTGAAACTGAAATCGTGGCTCACAGTATTCGAAGATGGGCTGTTGAATTAATAGTTGGCGCTTGCCTATTAGCAAATATAATAATTTTACCACCGAACATTAGGGATCTCTCCTGAGACACATGGTAAACAAATATCACCTGCCTAACATTGTTTGGTAAATTGCAAATTTGGATATGCAAACAAAACTCCCGAAAACTGTGAATGAAAACTGAGTTTAGGCTATTCAAGAACTTGATCAGGGAACCGTTAAGTCACCTTTCCCGTAAAGAACATAAAATATAGGGGGTTCAAGGTTGTTAAGTGCCGTATTTAGTTGAACGGCGTTTGAAAAATCATAATGATAAGTGGATATCTACCTGTGACGTTCAATAATATTAGCATAAGGTAAGATTTCATTGGTTGCAATGGCAAAATTGTCTGTCGGATATGTTTACTTTTAGATTCTCCACTGATGAAATTGCACTCAGAACTTTTTTTAGAAGAACTTCACCTGATCGAAAATCCTGCCTCCATATGCAAATTCCCTTGTCTTCAATAAACATTCGTCAAAGTCAGGTTTTGAAAACAAACTTACGCCTACCAATGAGCTTTACCTGGGATTCAAGAGTTAAATAAATCCAATTTGTTGCCTTAAAAATAACCTTCTTCTGGATGAGAAAATTTAAAACCTCTCCTTGCTTTGTTAATCTTATGGATTTTGCGGAAGTTTGTGTTTAATATGATGAAAAACGCCATGAACTGTCCCATATGTTAGGCAAACATCTCAAATTTTCCTTCTGCGGACGCAATCGAAGTGAAACCTGTCAGTATATTGAAGTTGTCTCTCCAGAAGCATATTTTTCCGTTTAGTTTTGTTGTCATTTTAAATGTTGGCAGGTACTTCTAAGGAATAAACGGACGGAGCTTTTTACATCGCGTATACGGTTCCAATCTAGCTTTATCTACAGTAGAAGATTTAAAGTCTTTGTCTCTGTCTCGGATCATTTTTAATAAAACAACTTTCATTCTAGAAGCAGATTTTTTATTAAAAACAGAAATTACAGATCACGAGGCAAAGAATTATTGTGTTGTGGCCAGAGCCGACCGGGCCGAACCGTTTTTTGCATAGAAGTTTTAATTATCAAATAATCAGCATGTGGGCGTGCTTGGTGCTTTAACCTTGCTCCTTATTGGATCTGCAGTCATCTTGAGGAGCGGGAAAAATTGCTTGCCTCTCTCGGCCAAGAATATTCCTCCAAGTGTGGAGAACTGATAAAAAACGCAAGACTGAAAGTTTTGTTATATGTTAGTCAGTGATTTAGGACTCTGAATACTTTATGATTGTTGTTGGTTGTTGTCGCTTGACACATCATTTACACAAAAGTACCGAGCAGAACGCTTCAGGATGTGCTAAAGATGAAAGCTACATTCCTCTTAATTCTTTCCTCAGCCTTTTTATTTATTTGTCTATATGTAAATTTTGTCGCAGACACCATCTCAACAGCTAACACAAAGTAATTGGAGAAGCTGATTCTTTTCATCAACAATTCAGGGGATTGGATGTTTTTTTTTATCTAGTTTAAGAAGAAGGTTCATAAGGGCATCAGATGAAGCACTGTGCCTCCAATATAGGGAATTTCAATTAAAATTATCCTGCATAATTATCAACAAACAAGACTTGTCACTGCAGTTACTCGGACTCACTAGTATTAAGCATTATCAAGGTAAAGAAAGGAACTAAAAAAAACGTTGTTCTAGTTTATTCAAGGAATATTTGAAATAAAGATAAAGCTTAGGAAATAAAGCCGAAATTATGTGTGGAGATCGTTCACCTTTTTGCAATAAAAACACGTAAAATTTATCGCTATATTTTCGCACAAATTTGAAAGAAATATTGTTATCATGGTTTTTTAATTAAGATTTAACATAACATGACTGTTGTCATTTTCAAGGACAAGTTCCGTATGACAGTCGCTGCGGGTACAGGATTTGACATGCCGGTCACGTTCAGCCTGCTGACACAAAACACCTCTATCTTTTCCAAGATAATTATTTTGGAATATCATTTTTAGCTCCGTCTGCGAAGATCCATCTCACATGACAATAAAAATGCCCAATTCCTGTTGTTTCATTTCGATTAACTAAAGGTGAATGTTGCACACTCTCTCTCTCCGTCAATATTGCAAAAACCAGTGACAAATCCTCTATCAGCAGATTGCCTTCATTTTTTGGCTCTAAAGACACACTTTACGTTTAATTTATTATATTTATTTTTTCCATTTCAAGCAATAATATTTTGTTTATCCATAGCTGTCAACATTGTGACGCTTCCTGCTGTACACGCCAAAAAAGCCTCTTTAATCCAAGGATTGAACCGATACGCATTCTGAATTTCACATTTGCGCCAACTTAACCAAAGTGATAAAAACTGTTTTGTATTCTTTTTGTCTGTTTATAGTGGTTCAATTTAGTTGATTTCTCCAATAATACAACCCTTTTTTGGCTAAATGCCACACTGAGAGACATGCAGGTGATTCGCGAGATATTTAATACACCGAGCGTGTTAATATATTGCAAAGAAAACTTAACAAGTGACTTCCTTTGCTAACCTTCTCACCTTTTCAGCTAAAACGTACTTACCACTTTATCTTACAATGTAAGAAAATGCTTTTTTAAGAGAAAACTTAAACATCTAAGTCTATCTGATCTGTTTTCTACGACTGCATGTTAAATAGACTGCTATTTTCGGAACTCGTGGACTAATATATTATAGCACGCCACACTGACTTTAGTTATCAATATATTTAAGGGTTTGAAAATTTTAAGATATGGTTTATCCAAAGCATTCTGTACGGTTTCACGCTGTAGTCAGCAGAAAAATATTTTCTTTTTCCACGAGAAACCGTAGTTCAAAAGCACAGAGAAATAGAAAATATCTGTCAAGTAATATTACTAGTAAAAGGAAAACTAATTACTCTCAGCTTTTTACAGTAAGAGACAAAAACATATGGAATGGCCCTTTTTATGTTATCCAGCATCCATATGAATACATTTGGCTATTTCTACTATATATGGTTTACTGATACTAGATATTCTTAAATATTACATTAGGGCAATAGTTATGACCTGGTTATAAACAAAGTCATCGAATAAGCAACAAGAAAATTAAAATGCCTTGGTCATTTGTAAAAGTTGACTGAAAGTGTCAAATTCTTTTTTCAGCGGAGAAAATGTTTCATTTAGGAAGTATTATAAACATCCATCAGGGTTTCTTAAAGAAATGCTGGTAGGCAGGTCTAGTTTTTTGCAGTTGAGAACTAAGATATTGATACTATGATGATTATTTTGTTATGGTCGTGTCGAAAAATATGACCGAAGAGATGGTCAGCGATAAAAGTTTCATAACATCTTTTGCAAACGTTAGACATTACTGAGACACGAAAGAAAGTTTGTGGCTTTTTAATTAGGTTAATGTTATGTTAAGTGAATCATTAATTCTTTATAAGCAGAGGGGAAGTTATTTTCGTCCTTTTACAGATCCTTGCTTTATCAATTGCCGAACATTGTCTTAGCCAAGAAAACCATCATCAATTTTTTCTATTTACTACAAAATTATTACTTTTTATAGTGTCGTGTTTTAAATTCGTTGAATCGCTTGACTTTAATAAAAGGACCGTTAGCAGCTGCATTTCCAGAGTTCCCTTTTGAGGTTCCGTATCACACTGAGAATAAGCTGTCAAGTTCAATTTATTTAACGTGTTTTATAGGCCGAGGAACAAAGACTTGCAAATATTACTATGGAAATTGCACTATTAAAAATTTGGCCCAATAAGGTGTTATGTAGGCGTCTATTGTAGATATATATTTTTATTGCAAATCTATCATCTGCTTCGAGCGATCTAAGTAAGACACAAAAGCAATTAGTCGTCTGGTGATGACTAATAAAATGGTATAAATTAAAAATATCGCTACGCCACTTTTACGGTGGGCATTGAAAGGTCTAACTTGTAAAAAATGTAAATTCGGACCCCTTTTCTCAAAAATACCAACTCAATAGGTGCGGTCAACCTGGACCTTTTCTCCAAAGCTCTCCTCCTGGTTTTGAGAGGGTTTTGATCAGTTTCATCTTTGCTGCTACACTAACTCCGACGAAATTGCCTAAGAAAATTGCAAGTGTAACCGCGCCGATTACTGCCAATGTCTAATAATCTGTAATATCCAAATAATAGAAAGGGTAAATAAAGGATTAATAGTTTAATATTTCCATCAAACTTACAGAATTTGAAATAACTTTCCTAGTCATGTTGAGCAAAGCAGAACGTAACTACCCTCACAGAATTTTGCAGAAGGTCCCAAAATATTGAAATTAATTATTTATACACCCCTAGCCTCTA